TGTCTGGCTCCATCCCCTGCCTGTCCCCTGATCCCTGCCCTGCCTTGCCCCAGCCTCCCCCAACCACCCCGAGGTCCCCAATCACTGCCTCCCCAACCCAGCATCCCCACAATAATAAAAAAAACAACCCCCCCACAGCACTTACCAGCAGTTTCAGCTGCCGTCTTTGTCACTGGGGCCTGTCCTGCACAGTGCGGCCAGGTGACAGCCCCATCAGCTGCAGCCTGGGCCCTGCAGCCCTCTGCTGCCCTGTGCTGCACAGGGGTGGATTCTGCCAGGAGGCCCCAGACTGCCCCCAGCCCCTGCTTCTATGGTGAGTAGAGGCTTGTTCTGGGGTTTTTTTAAAGTGCCAAAGGCTGGGGTTGGGGGGGCAGCCATGAGGGGCTGGGGGTGCAAGTGGGGGATGGGGCCAGGTGAAGCAGCAATCCAGGGGGCTGGGGGGGCACAAGCAGGGGTGGGGCAGGGCATGTGGGCCCTGCAGGGGGGTAGCCCCTGTGGAGGGGCCGTGGCACCTGTGGGGGGCAGCAAAATTATATAGTCATGTATTCATGAAATGTACTTAGAGTTCACTTTATTATTATGATAGAGACACTGGTAGTCTTCCAAATTGCTTTAATACTGTAGATAAATCAATAAAACATTGCCCAACTGATCTCTGTCTCTGAGAGAAAGAGCAGTCTTTTGTTTTAATTGTGGAGTAACATGGATTTGGGGGTACTTTACAGAGTGACTTTGGGATGTTTTATCAGGGATTTTTCAGTTTTCCAATAGGGAACACCAGAATTCCTGCTAGGGAGGCCAGTGGCAGGACCCTGCCTGCTCAGAGCTAGCACTTTGGACCCAGCTGGCTGTGGCTGTCCTCCTGGCCAATTGGGGCCAGGAGGACATGCTTTGACAATTCAAAGCAGGCCACTGCACCCAGAATATCTTCTGGGTGATAGCTGCCCAGATGGCCAGGCAGGGGGCACACATGGCAGTAGTGCCGCACAAAGGCCAACTCTGCAGCCACAGCCCACTGGCAGCTGGCCCAGAAGGGCAGATGCCTCATCCAGGTCTGGCAGGTGCACAGCAGGTCACAGCCAGACAGCAGCCCCCACTGCCAGATTGCTGCAGTGGGTAAAGGTGCAGGGAACTCTCAGGGCTGCTTCAGCAGTCCAGCTGGCACAAGGGGTAGTGTCCCCAGGTACCAATTGGCTGGGCCCCAGAAGCTCCTGAGAGCAAGTAGCCCTGAAGCTACTTGCTAGGGCAGCTTTTTGTACTGCTGGGGCCAGGACAGGGAAGCTTTTTATACTGCTGGCAACAGCACAGGTGCTGGCCCTGGGCTCTAGCTCCCCCTGGCTGCAGATCTGGTAGGAGCCAGGCAGGGTTATTTTGCCCCAAGTGGCACAATTTGCTCCACAACAAAGTGCATGTCCAAGCACGTGTGCTGAGGCAAAAAACCACGGCTCAAATTTGCACCACTTCTATCTGAGCTGCTGCAAGCACACGTGCTTGCATATGTGGATGTGCTCCTTAAGTGCATATTATCTTTTGGCCCCTGCACTCTCTTCTGCAAATTTTACTCTGGTTAACTGCACAGTACTAGTTATTGTCTACTTTGTAACTCATCACACTGTCTTTAGTTGATCGAGAAAAAGGAATAGGGAAGCAGTTGTTAAAAGTCTGCTCTTAGAAGCCTTGAAAATTAAGAAAGCCAGTTAGTTCCAAAACTGTTATCTCCCCTCATTTTCAAGACTTCTAATAACAGACTCAGAACTGTCTTGAAAGGAGGGAAACTAATAAGTTTCAGGGCTACTAATGTCAAAATACTTATAACTTTGTAAGCAATGCTCATTATTTACATGGCACTGTCTGCTTATTTTTCTATATGCAAAACCCTTAACTTCTCCTGATTCTCCTGCTGCACCCTGACCTTAGTCCATCTTCCCAGCATCAAGACATTTGTGTTGTGGCAAAGCTTCCCTTCGCAAGCACAGGAGACCTGCCTCAGCAAGGGGCAGCATTCCAGGGTACCTTTCACAGTGCAAAGTGCATGAATTAATGCCCCCAGGCCAATGCTCCCTCTTACCACATATTCATCAATGAACTGTCGGAGGTCCTTAAAGCCATGTTTTTCTGCGATATTATTTGGATAGTACCCATATTTGTTGGCTACACTGTAGGCCTGCAGGGCTCCTGGGCATGTGAGCAGTAGAGCCGTGAGGTTCTTCAGCCCATATTTTGCAGCGAAGTGAAGCAGTGTTGGCAGCTCTTCATCTCTCTGGTCTAAGAGAACACATGGCCTTTTAAAATCAAGTTCCTCTCTAATGTTGTTCACTGGGTGTGTTAATGCACATACCAGCAAAGGGGAACAGACACAAAATGAAATAGCTTTCAGAATACTACATCATTTCAAAATGGAGAAACCTTTGTATGTATGAGACTGCATGGAACAGATGAAGAATGGCTCAGCCATTGCCTCTTGGGATGGGGTGGGGAGGGGAATCATCCGTTCAGATCACAGGAGTTCTTTCTGAGTATTAAAAGGGGCTGCTTATTCAGCGAACCCCAGATGGGTGGCACACAGGGAAGATCAGGAGAGTAACCACACAGGTGGGCAATAGAGAAAGGGGCAAATACTGTCAATAGAAGGGCTCTTGGAGTGCTGTAAAAGATTCCCAAAAGCTATGTGAGAATTCCAGGATACCCAGAAGCACCTCAGCCACAGACAACAGCAGTTGGGCTTGGAAAGGCTTCTCCAATCCAAATGGCTTGAAATATAGAAGTTGTATCAGCAGCAGCAAGTAAACTATGTTCAGAGACTCTGGCCAGATCCATGAGCATGGAAGCAAGTACTACCCAGGCAGGTATTAGTAATTCCAGTGCTCATACTTAATATGGCTTTTACTATACTCAGAGTGCACTCTGATAAAACCAAAAAATCCCCAAAACAAAACAGCACACCAAAGTTTAGGAAGGACTAGTGATCTTCAGTGTCCAGCCTAAGCCCTTGAAGGAAGTCTTATTTTCAGAGAGGAGGTTCTCAACTTTCTGAAAATTAGGCCCTTTACAATAGTGGATCGTACTTAGCATCTATCATCATCTCAAAGTATTCCTGAAAATCTTGGCCACAGACAGCTGGGGTATGTCAGAATAGACAATGCAATGTAATGGATCCTTCCTCCACATTTCTTAAGAGTCTGTATTTCTATTTTGCATGATGCTGTAAGCAAATCCTTTTGTGGCCATTTATTATAGACAGAAAGTTATTCTGGGGAAGTAATTTTTAAAGCTCTTACTTGTTGTCATATCTTCTTCCTCCAGCTGGTTGATTCCAAACAGGTGCAAGCCACTTGCAGGAATGTTTTGCTTTAGTGATTCTGTCAACAGTTTGTCCAGAGTTTCTATGTTGTATGGTACTATTTTAAAGGCCTAAACACAAATGAAGAGTAATTTAGCTCAGGGTATTTTCAGATGAGGAATTCAGATCACCAATATATAAAGAAAGTTAAATAAATAAACCTTATGAAAACACAAAAAGCCACCAAAATCCCCCTTAAAACCACAAACATAAACATACTCAGAGGACCAATGTTAAGATCAGCCAATTTTCGTTGCTTCCTGATGTATATTCACAATAATGTATTTAGTGATGTGATTAAACGGCAGTATTCAAGCTGCCTACTATGTTACTGAGAATCCTAGTTAGACAGCCCAGGGAACAATCATGGAATGGCAACATTTGACTTATGTTTTGGAATGGGAGTACCATGAAAGCAGAACACGATAGAAAATATCTCTGGTTCAGCAATCAATATAGGCTCACTTTCATTGACCTCTAATGTAAGGAAGTGGCAGGAAGGGCCAAATGAGCTGACTGAGGTTTATCTCTTACATCAAGCAGGCACTACCCAGTTGGTATGAATTCTAGCTTGTTTTCATTTATGTTTTGGGTTTTCAGGTTGTTGTATCAGATCTAAGTATGACCCAAGTACAAGCACAGCTTAAGACTGTCCCCCACTGTGCCCCAGTCCAACTAAGCTGAAAGGGTCATGACTGTTAGCTACTATGCAGGCTTCTGCTGTGGATATATCAGTGGAAGTAAAGTGACATATGCAGACAGGAAATGAAGGCCATAGGACCTGAAGATTTCCCTTATTAAAACATTAACAGTAAGCTTACTTACCCTGACTAAAATATAGTATTGCCAAGCTAAAACAATAATGACAGGAACATGTTGATGGAACTTACAGAAATTGCATAAATGATCAAAAACAAACATTGAATTAATTTTACTTCATTCAGTAATGTGATTAAATTCACGTGTGCATAGTGCTCTTGTGTACAGGTTTTCAAATGTTATATTTCTTAATGATACTTTTCTTATATCAAGGGGTTGGTTTTTTTGCTATTTTTAAATAATAAATGGAGGGGTTATGTTCATTTTCTTTCATCAGCCAGTAGATGTTGGAGTTACCAGATCTAGTCATTTGCCTCAGAGGGAGAAAGTTAATCCTACTCTTGCAAGGGATGTGGGAAATTGTTAGGCTTATCTGACAGTAACAGCAAGAAAAAAGTTGCTTATGTTTCCTTTCTTCAGGTGAACTAATTTATTCCAAGAGTTCAGTAAATCTATTTGCACCTCACATCCCCCTCCCACCCCCAAAAAAGTTACTATCAAAACCAGCTGTTTGTCTATAATCATTACCTGACACATGAACTCCACTGGATTAGCTGCATTAGCCAACAGGTTGCCGACCTCTTCCATGTCGGTGTAATACTTGATGTTTGCTTCCCCTACCAACAAGTCACCTGAATATATCCGTAGAGACACTGGTCCAGATGTTAAATCTTCAAAAATGAAGTGCAGTAATCATCAATGAGAATAAGCAATGAGAACAAACTCCAAATACATGTTCCAGCCTGGCTGCTAGCACACAACTAAATCACAGCTCTTCAACCCCTGAGTATGGTGTCTCGTATCACTCCAATCCCAGGTTTCACTGGAACAGACTCCAAACCAGCTGTACTGTGCAACTTCTTAGTGATTCTGTATGCCCATCAACTTCACAGGTATAAGTGTATGAAGATAATTTCCCTGAGGCTCTAGGAACTCTGCCCTACAACTTTAATCACACAGCCTTCTCTCTTTACTTTTAACCTTGCACCTTTCCCACTAAACTTTAAGACAAACATGGAAGCTTGGGTTTGCAACTCTAAAGGTTAGGATGCTTTATAAACCAAGACTGAACACAAATATTTGCATGAATTAAAGAAAAAGTCACAATAACCAGTTTCACCCTTATATCCAGTTTTACCTGGATTCTCACACATTACAACAATGCTGTTCCATTTGTGTTTTTAAATTACTGGCATCTCTTTTCCTAACAACCTAACAATGTGGTGCTGATAACACATAGCTTCCTTCCATGCTTGTTCAGCTTTAAAGTTCTTCGTCAGTCAAAACCATTTCTCAAACCTCCCACTGAGGTGAGTGAGCATTACTATCCTGTTCTTACTGGCAGGTGAAACAGAGCCACTGAATATAGTTCTCTCCCAAATTCAAAACATGAGAGCACGAGAACTGGGAGTAGAAGTTTAGGATTTCTCCAGCTGTACCTCTGTGTTCCAGCTGTGCAACTCTGCAACTCTATGGCAAAGGAGAACAAAAACACAGTTCCCACAGGAAGAGGTTGTACTTACCTGGTGCCTGCACAGAAACTGTGTACTCATTTTCCATCCTGGCTGGCACACGCACAGATGGGGCATTCCTTGGAGTGAATTCAGCTTCTGTTTTCACTTTACCATCCATCTTGCACTTCATGATTATATAAACAGTCATCTGCACCTAAGAGTAAGGGTATCAAATGTGGAATCAAAATTCAAGGACACATGCTTCTTTACAACTACTTCCCTATTCTTCCTGAGCTGAATTCAGCTTGGAATAACTGCCTCAGAATGGTGGTGGTGCTTCCTCAGGGTATCTAATCTTCATTTGGAAGAAGTAATCCATTACAAATTACTGTTCAGAAACTGTTTTGCAGCATATATTATCATCAATACTAGGACTGTGCCTCTGAGTAAAAAAATAGGTAGGTGACGGAATTAGGCAGCTCCTGAAACTGCCAGGCATTCTAATGGTTGCATCTGCGTTCACATAATAGATTTTGGAGCCATTTATATGGTAAAAAAAAAAAAAGAGCTCACAGCATTTCCATCAGCCAGATGGTGGCAGCACCTCTCATAACTGGGACCTCTTCTCAGTTGCTACTGAAATATAAATGATACCAGACTACATGCATAGCGCAGATGAGACAGCATCCTGAGTCTTCATTAATCACTCCTGTGCCTCTGGGTTCCAATGCAGCTGAACTCCTACTACAGGCCTACATCAGGGTGGTGTAGACAGAGCTTTTAGCACTGGAAAGAACTGTAATTTGTCCTGCTTGCTAGTGCAGTTTCTGCTATATCTGCCTCTTAGACTAAAAGTCAATTTTCCCAAATAGTCATCTAAATAGCATGGCCACTATGACATTGCTGTTCATGCTCAGGGCAGGATCAAAGAAAGAGACTTGGACCTAATGGATGCATCTACACATACTATTAGTGTGCATGAATAAACTTCAGAGCTTATTGCTCTGGAGTTTATTCAGGCACAGCACATTAAGCCAGATCAGAGCAGCCCTAGCTGGCAGGAGGGCCAGGTGGTCATCCTGCCAGCCCAGGGATGCTCCCCCAGCTCAACATGCTGTAGAGAGGCTGGCTTGGACATGAGGGCACTTCAGTGTGGGGCTATCTGGCAGGTAGCCCCTGCAACAAAGCACCTTCGTGCCCCAGCCAGCTGAGGCAGCATCTACACGTGCACTGCTGTGGAATTTTTTACAAGCACTATCCTGCCGCAGAGTAAATGAGTTTACTCTGGCCTAATAGAGGTTCGCATGTAGATGAACAAGGTTTACTGTGCAGCTAGTTAGTCAACTGTGCAGTAAATGTGTCGTGGAGACGCACCCAGTGAGTTTGCTTTTCACATGGAAAAAAAGCTGACAGTGATCCTTAGATTATCAGTTCTTTGTTTTAACCAATTTAAACTATACCTGTCAACAGAGAGTACCTGGTCTGCAAGCAAATCAAACAGATACATTTACTTCACTTCTGCTCTGGTGTACTATGTAGTCCAGGACCAGATTTCCAAATTTTATCCTAGTGGTCAACAAGACTCCTAGCCATTTTTAGATAACAATATGCTGTCATGGTAATCTAAACCTTTAAATGCTATTAAGTGCAGCACTAGTAATTTCTCAAGTAGCCAGGGCTGTAAAGATCACTGACACCAAAGATGTAATCATTTGCACATTTTAATACATTAACACCATAATTCAGTGGTTCCCAAAATGTAGGTCGTGACCCCAAATGGGGTTGCAGTGCACAGGGTCACAAGAAATAAAATCACTTTAATCCAGGGACAGGCAAAATATGGCCAGCCAGGCACTTTTATCTGGCTTGCAGGTGACCAAATAATTGTACCGTGCCCAATCGGCTTGCCTTACTCCCACCCTGATATGCAGAAGGGCCCCGGCCCAGCTAGTACACAGCTTCCTGATGGGGTTGCTGCTGCCACTGCTGCAGCTGCCAGGGGACTTGCTCAGCTTCCTCCTCGCTCCAGGTACCAGGTAGGGAAGCAGCAGGAGGAGGGGGAACTATGGCTGGGCAGGAGCACAGACCATGGGGATAGTGGCAGCACGGAGCCTGTGCCCAGGGAGGTGGTAGGACTGTGGAGCTTGGGTGGACAGAGTGTGGGTGTGAGGGAAGGTAGGAGGGTATGGGGACATCCCTACACACTCCCCCACATTGTGCACAGCCCCCAACAGTGGCAACAGCAGCAGCAGGTGTTCAGGGCACTTGCAGCCTGTGCAAGCACTGCCGCCTGGCAGCATGCAGCTCCAGCGAGTGCTGCATGTGGTGGCAAAGACCACAGCCAGGCTAGCCTGCCTCTATCACATGGAGCACCCCATAAAACACATGCAGGTCCTGGATTGGAAACACACAATCTCTGACTTGAAACACACGGTCACACCCTGTCACAAAAATGCTTTATAAAAGTACTTTAAAAACAGATTTTCATATTTATATTCTGTATTATATGTTGTTCTATAATATGTGAACTTTATATACTGAATGTTGTCATTATACTGTTTTATTGCTGGTTTGTTTTCATTGGCATCTGGGGTCCTGTGAATTTTCACGTGTTAAAATGGGGTCGTAATGGAAAATAGTTTGGGAAGTACTGCCATAGTTTGTATGTGCCCTGCAGGTTCTTTCATGATCATTGTCTTTTATGCAGAACCCCAGGTTCCCTCATCTGTGCCAGTGTGACATAGCTTATCAACAGCAGATAGCAGAGCCATTTCTAGGTACTATGGGCTCCAGAGAAAGCATGTACCATCTTATGGATTTTTCCTCTCAGCCTTGCAACTTCTCTGGCTGTATCACATAATGAGTTCTAAATTTCATTCTTTTGACTCCTTGGGCAATTGATTATTTTCTTTTAAACATGAGGTAGCTAAGACTGAGGTGATTTACCTGCTGTACAGGTATGCTTCTATCAGATCTGACACCTGCAGATCCAGAAATGAAGGGCTAATGGCAAGTTTCAAACTCACCACCCAGCATGGTAGCATGTTTTTAAAACTGTAGGCTAGGAAATCAAAGATACCCAGTCTGCTAAAGCCATTTCAGATTATAATGCAATAGTGCTGCCAACCCTATACATTCAAAAATCATGAGCCCAGTTCAGAACATTATGATGGGCTTATACATTCATATGGGATTCATGTTGGGTTCTTCTCTGACTTCTTATTCATGCCTTTACTGCACATATTTTTCAGCTGCAACCCATTAAGGCCAAAATACTGAGATTCCTCCAGATAAGATGCTTCCAGGGACTGGTGCTTTAAAACAAACAGCAAATCTTAAGTTCCTATAAACTGACATAACTGTTAGAGTAAGAAAACATACCCAGTGCCTACTGCAGAACATCTAACATTGCTCTAGAGGCTGACTCTGCTCCTGTCCACATCATGTGAAAAGGAAATAATGTAAACTGGTGGTCACATTGCAACACATCAGCTCTGTTAAGCTGTTCAGTTTTAAG